TCACATACAATATTGTCCCTAGTGCTTTGTCCTGCGCCCTGCCTGCATTTTGTCTGTTCTTTCTGCCTGGAAACTGAGAAATGTCCATGGCATCCAAAAAGTGTCCCTTTAGGTCAAAAGCGGTTTAGATCAGCTAGAGAACAGCAATAGTAAATCAGAAACACTTACAGAATTGAGTGATAATGATTCGTGGGGAAATTCGTCATCAGAAACTGAAAACGATTTTGCGACTGAGCTCAGCAATGTGCGAACTTTGGCGCTCTATTTCACATTTCAGTGTTTTTGGTTTGATTATATTATTGAATTAAATTTTTTATTATTTTTATATTATTTTTATGATTATTTATTAAATTATAATTTATGATTTTGTGTTTCAAATTTTATCATACCCGGGATGTTTACTAGACTCTTGTTTGTACAGATTTCAGTGAGTTTTTTCCTAAAAATTACAGCCTACAATAAAAAAAATACATATTTCCATGCAAAAAAAATGGTACCGCTTTCAGCACCAAAAATCTGAAATAATCATACCGCCAGGGAGGTTAAACTAGCTGCAAAGTTGCACATCTCTACAATGTATAGAACCTGCTGCAGCAGGACTGACTTTTTTTTTTTAAATTGGCATTAGGGGGGAACCCACACGGTTTCTTTTTTTTTATGTATTGTTGTTTTATTTTTATTTGGGTTTTTTAATATTTTTTTTCTTTTTTTTTTGGGGGGGGGGGGGGGGAGTATTCTTCCGTCTGTCTTTGGCAGTGTCTAGCAACACACTGCACAAGGCTGCTGCGTAAATGTGAGGAGTGGACTGTGCAAGCGGGGACTGTGCAAGTGCAGTGCATTGTAGGGTGTTTGACGGGCGAACAGTTGGTGGTGCCTTCACACCGTAACCCTTCAGAGTTATTCTTGACGAGTGCAGGATTGGACCCTGCTCTGAAAAAATCAACGTTTATGCACCTTTCACACGCTGTGTTGAAAAAATGGGTGTTGGTGCCTCTGCACTCTAACCCCTCACAGTTACTCTTGATGAGCACAAGAATTGGTACTGCTCTAAAAAACTGAAATTATAAGCACCTGTCACACAAGTGCAGAAAAATTGGGCCTTGGGTGTTAGTGGTGACTGAACACTGTAATCACTGTACTCTTGCCGAGGCGCAGGAATGGGCCCTGCTGTTAAAAATTAGAAATTTTTTTTTAATTACATGCACCTGTCAAACAGGTGCAGAAAAATTGGGCCTTTGGTGTTGGTGGTGAACTAAGTCAAAAACATTGTTGGAAGCTAGCATAATCAGGAATAGGATAGTCAGCTTAGGCAGTCTTCAATGAATCCCAGATCCCTAACAAATTTAATCAGATACATCAGCATGAGGAGCTTGATAACTGCTGTTGATCCAGGACTGATCCATTTTAATAAATGTCAGCCGGTCAATAGAGTTTGTGGACAGACGCACTCTTTTATCCATCACAAAACCACCAGCAGCACTGAATGTCCATTCGGAAAGCATGCTGGATGCAGGACAGGCCAATAGCTCAGCTGCATATTGGGCAAGTTCTGGCCAGTGATCCGTCCTCAAGATCCAGTAATCCAGTGGATCCTCAGTTGGAAAGGTCTCCAAATCTACTCTTGCCCCTAGATAATCCTGCAACATGTGATACAGACGCTGCCGAAGGGTGTTTAAACCTAACAGCACTGGACACTAAGGACTAAAGAATTGTTTAAAGGCATCGGTCAGCCGGCTGCCTTCTCTTCCTTTGACCAAGCGAAACCCCAGAAACACGTTGTCCAGGAAATAATAACCTCCTAGTGTCTGGAAAGGTGTTACACAAAATTTTCTTTAAGGTGTTCTCAAGATGTTTCATCCTCTGCTCCCTCTGCAACTTTACCCTTGTAACATGGATCAAGAAGGGTTGCCAACCAGTAATGATCCTTTTCCTTGATACCACAAATCCTCGGGTCCTTTTGTAGAAGCAGGGAGCTCATGCTGCGTAAGTTTGAGGAGGCATGAGATTCTGAGTCCTGGGTTTCTGGGAAGTGAAAAACATCCCTTGAAGACTGCCATATGTTATCCTTTACTTCCATACAGCCATAATTCTCCTTCTCTTTTTCCTCTTGGTGTTCTGCGGCCCCACAGGAATGGTATCTGCATAAAGGGGGCCTTGAGAGGAAAGGAAGTCTTCCTCTTCCTCCTGCTGTTCTACCTTAAGTGCCCTGTCCATAATTCCATGCAGCATGTGCTCCAGCAGGAAGACTAGAGGGATACTGTCACTGCTGCAGAAGGCTCACCATCCTTGTGGCCTCCTCAAATGGTGGCAGGACAATGCTTGCATACTTCATTAGCAGCTACTGGTGTGGCGAAAAGAAGCCAAGCTCCCCTGAGCCTGTGCTTGTGCCTTGCTCACACAGGTACTCATTGATGGCCCTCTGGTGTGTGTGCAACTGCTACAGCATTGCCAATGTTGAGTTCCACCTGGTGGGCATGTCACAAATGAGGCGGTAGGTGGGCAGGTTGAATTCCTGTTAAATGTCAGCCAGCTGAACACTGACCATGTATGACCTCCAGAAATGGCCAATGACTTTTCTGGCCTGCCTCAGAAGATCTTGTAAGCCTGGGTACCTGTTCAAGAAATACTGCACCACCAAATTCAGGACGTGCGCCAAGTGTCCTTGGAGGGTAGAGAGAATGTTGGAGCCATTGTCGCATACAACCATTCCTGGCTCAAACTGGTGTGGTGTGAAGACTAGACAGACCAGATCAATCACTGCATGGCATCTTTTAGCACTGCTGCTTTAAAAAACAATTCAGCAGAAGAAGTCATAGAGGAGGAGAAGGAAGAGCGTGCAGTGTATTGTAGGGTGCAGAGGGCAAATAGCCCTTACCATTCATGTGTTCAATTTAAATTCGATTTGACATCAAGCCCATCACTAGCAAACAGCAACACTTTTGTGATATTACAGAGTTTACTTGCTGCATAGGTTTTGGAGTTTCATAAGATAAACTTTAGCAGTAGACATGGGATTAAAGGTGAAGTATGGCCAAAGCTTTTTGAATCACAGAAGTGCAGTTTGTTATGCACTCCTGTGACCCATTTTCATCCAACAGGAGGCTGAAGCCAAGCTGTCGGTTGACATCACAGGTTCGTGATCTGAAAAGATATATGTTTGGGATCCACCCAGAAGTGTGGACTGGCACCTGACCCCCTGAGAACCGGAGCCAGACACTCCCTCCCCCTCCGCAGCCCAGCGCTCCTGAAAGGGCAAAGCAGAAAACCAGTGACCGACAGTCACTGTTTACGTTTATTGTTTACAGTGACCGACAGTCACGGCTTTCTGCTCAGAACTGAGCAATCAGCGGTTTGGTTTTTTGGGGTTTTCTTAAACCCATACTTCTCTTTTAAGCACTGGGCACAACTTGCTCCAATTCTCAACAGACCTCATGTGGTCTCGCTACTGACAAGGAGGCTAAATATTTTTGGTTGGATTTTGGACTGTGATTATTATGCAACTGGAATAATCAATGTTATTAGAGAAAGGATGCCTGCTCACTGTGATGGAATATGCAATTCTCAACAGACCTCATGTGGTCTCGCTACTGACAAGGAGGCTAAATATTTTTGGTTGGATTTTGGACTGTGATTATTATGCCCTGTGAGGGGGGAACCTCTTGTTTGGTTCTGTTTTCAGCAATGCTGCTAATGGACAACATAGGCCGTAAGCCCCTAAACAAACTTTGGAGTCTGGATAACCTCTCTGCAAGCTCTCTGCTTGAAATTAATTGCCAACAATTGGTGTTTTGGTGCGGGCAATCACTCCATGAATCCTCGCTGAAAGGCAAGTTTGCTGGTTACTCTATGCACCTGTTAAATTTGCAGTGAGATAAGAAGTGTGAAAAGTTTTTGTCTGCAATAGTTTGAAAGGACAGTGTGATGTTCTGTTGAATCTATAAAACTGCTAAGGATGTCTGGGGAGAAAAATGTCAATAACCACTGTGATCCTGATGACAGCAAACTGTGTCTATACCCCTTAAAGACAAAGTTCACTTCTGTGTACAGTTTAAATCTGCAGCACGGAGATAAAGGCTTTACTCCAAAGCAATGCTGCACAGTAACAGATTTATCAGAAGAACCTGGAACAACAACAAAAAACCCAATAGCCTGTTGGCTGTCCATCAGCAGCAAACTGATGCAACTCAACAACAAACAGCTGCTTAACAAAAGGCCTTCTTATTTACTTTTGAAAGCATCTCAAATGGGCAGGCCTGGCCTAAAGAACTTTGGGCAACACTTGTTGGGCCATTGTTAGCGGGAGACTCCCAAAAGGTTTACTTCAACATGACCTCTAATGATGCCTGAGACTATGACAAATTATAAGCTGAGATCTTACAGAGACTGGGAGTCACATTTCAGTGAGGATGCAGTGGGTGCAGAGCTGGAGCTAAAAGGTAGAAGGATCTCCCTGCTCCAAAATGTATGACCTAATTAGGCTTAGGGTCAAATGTTAACCTGGTCAAATGTTGGCTGCAGCCTGAAGTTCTTACAGAGCCTCAAATCATGGAACCATGGACTGATTTCTGAGGGTCTAACTCCAGACCTATGGAGGTGGGTAAATCAAGCTAATCCAGTCAGCTGATCAGCTGGTCAAGAACAAAGGAACTAATCACTGAGAAGTCATGGACTGTAGAGAAACAAAAACCTCTGACTGGTAAAGTGGTAGTAAAGCTTTTTATGTTTTACCTACAGGTAAGCCTTTAATAAAGTGGGCATTCTGACACTGGGTTGGAACTAACTGCCGTGGACATCCCCAGTGACACTAATACAATGATCAGTGCTAATAAAAAGCACTGACACTGTACTAATGACATTGGGCAGGAAGGGGTTGACATCTGGGGCGGTCAAAGGGTGAACTGAGTGCTGTGTGTGTCTTACTTGAGACATGCTGCTTTGTATCTCTCTGCTATGCAGGAAGATACAAAGCAGCATGTCCATGCTGACAGGAGAGAAACCTGTGTTTTTTTACACACAGGTCTCTCCCCTGTCAGCTTTGCTGATGATTATCAAATGCCTGCCGGGAATGGGTGATTGACATATGCAGCTGCCAATAGCGTCATGGGTAGGGCAGCACGCATGTGATTTTGCATAGCTGTGCCACCCTGTAGCAGTAACTTCTGCTATAGGGCGGATGACAAGTAGTTAAGGATTAGAAGGCTGGAAGACTGCCACGTCACTGCTGAGAGTGGAGAGCTGAGCTGATTTAGACAAGGACTTTATTGCTTCTGTTTTGAAATTTGAGTATGAATTGCAACACTGTGCCTGTAGCTATATAGGTTAGTGAGGGCCTGTTTTAAAGTTTATTTACTGCTTGGTAAGAATATGTAAATGTTTCAACGTTTCAATCTGTCCTTTTTTCATCCTTCCATGTACGGATGAAAAATGAGCAAATGGATGTAAATGGATGATCATGTCTGTTCAGGAAGTGGCCCTAAGTCGATGCAAATGGAGAAATGGGCTGTTTTTGCATCTATTTTTGCATTGGTTGTTCAGGATCCGGCACCCACTGGCTTCTTAACAATGATCAGTCATCCTTGCTGTCAGCAGAATGTAAACAAAAGAGCCCACAAAAAGAAGTCCCAAAGAGAAAAAACCTACCGATTAAAATGTATTTATTGAAAAATATAAAAATCTGAATGATACAATATCCCCTCCAACCTATACAACAAAAAGACAATGTAGCCATATCATAAAAACACCAGCACGGGCACACAGGTGTACTCTCCAAACACACAAGATGACATACACATAGGGGTATAATAGTGGGGACCTTGAAACTCTGTAGTTGTAGCTGATATAGCTAGATCAATGATAAGGAATTATCTATAACAACAATGCAATTAGGTGATGTACGGGTACCGGACCATCAACAAGTGCCAAGGATGTAACACATATCAGCATGTGTAATAATAGATGGTAATGGCAGTCCATCAATCAAAAAAAGATATATTCAATCAGTGCTGACAGGTTAGGAACCTGTAATGGATAGTTCCCATAAGCAGTTCAAACCATGCTAGGTGTCAAAATAATATCGGTGCATCAGATATTACACAGACATCACAGTTCAACAGGGCATCAATAGTGGTCACATAGAAGCAACAATCTGAAATTAGGTGACCGGTATATAGATAAAGATTGGGATGCACCACAGCCATGTGCTGCATGCAGACAAAAGGAGCCACCAGCTTTGTAAGGCTCAAAAGAGCAATTGGAGTCCAGAGGTAACCCCCGATATGTTCACAACCTGGTCTGAATGTAATCAGCTCACCCTTCCAGTAACAGTCACTGGCTATAATGGATCTCAATCCACTGTGTGGTGCGGCTAGAGTCACCCTCCGTCTAGCGATAACTGTGCATGGAACTGCAATGGCATGTCCAGTGTGAGATCAGGAAACAAAATTTCCCTAAGATCAAAGGTGTGAGTCTGATGTTCCAATTGTTAGTATTAAGTTTCATCATGAAGTCATGAAGTTCCTGCTCTGTACCTACCCAGAGCATGAGGACATCATCGATGTACCTCAGCCAAAGGGAAACATGGCTGAGGTACATCAAGGAATGGTACACGATCTCTTCCACCCACCACCCAAGGTGGAGGCAGGCATACGCTAGTGCCCACAGGGCCCCCATCAATGTCCCTGAATTTGGCAATAATAGGTCCCCAAGAATTGAAAGAAATTGTTGTGGAGAGCAAAGTTCAACAATTCTAAGAGAAATTTGTTTTGTGCTCCCATGCTTAGGTAATTAATTTCTAAAAAATTAGCCACAGCACTAATCCTCCAAACATGGGAGATGGAGGTATATAGGGACTCTATATCTGGACCTACCAATATTGTTCCTGTCTGAACCTCCACCTGGGAAATCTTTAACAGGACATCCCTAGTATCCTGAACATATGAGTCCCATCACCGTCTTTAATTAGAGCATCCAGGTATTTTCCAGTGCATTCCAAGGGTCCACTTATGACTGATATAATGGGCCTTCCTGGTGGATTTTTTTGCAAGCTTTTGTGTACCTTGGGGATAATGTACATAATGGGGATATTATAGTCCTCCACACGCAAATAGCCCCTTTCTTTTTTGGTGATGAGACCCTCCTCACATGCCAAGGACAACTTCTGATTGAGGGACAAGACCAAAGGGGAAAAGGGTTCCCCCCCTTACCTTGCATATGTAGATAAATCTTGACAGTGTCTCTTAACTTCCAACTCATATGCATCTTCTGTCATAAGGACCACATTCCCACCCTTATCACTGGGCTTGATCACTAAATTGGGTGCTTCCTTAAGTTCTCTTAATGCCTGCCTCTCATCTTTTGAGAGTTTATCCATACCAGTCAGTCTCCATTCAAGTTTAGACAAAGCATATTGAACCATATCCAAAAAGACACCCAGCCAACGTTTTTTGTGAATCTGAGGAATCCTAGTGGATTTAATTGTCAAGCTGGCCTGTCTTATCCATGGATCACTAGGATCCATATCTTCATCCGACTCGAAAGACTCATCTTCCATCACTGATATGAGCTTTTCAATAGCTTCCTGTTCATCATCTTGTGGTATAAATTCATTACTCACTTGATAGATACTACCCACATGTTTTTCTGAATGTACTAATATTAAATATACCTTTCTAAGGAAAAGATAAATATCCTTGTATACCTCAAAATGATTCACGTATTCGTTGGCGAAAAGGACAAACCCTTACGGAGTAACATAATATGTCTCTCCTGTAGATCAAACTGTGAAAGGTTGATAACCTTCATATTTGACAGCTCCCTGTGTGGGGGGTCTGTATGATAACGGCAATGGCTCATTTCCATCTCTGACTCCTGGTGATGGCTTTCGATATGTCTACCGAGGATTCTTTCTCTCTGACTCTTTCTCCTCCTTGCTTGCCGTGTACTTCTCCCCCCCCTCCTCTCTGTTGCCCTGAGAATACCCTGACCCGGGACGCCACCTCCTATTACTGATGGATTGTCATCTAAAAAAACTAACCATTCTAGACTCTTCCTCTTCACTCTTGGATGATATCGGCCTATTTCTTGATGGTGTATGGGAGCGGTGACGGCGTTGCTGGGATCCACTTCGTCCACGCAGATTGGTGAGATCAAATATTTCCCCACTAGCCCAGTCATCCAAATCCCTTTTAAATTTGGTGTGTTTGGTACTTAGCAGATTTTTTTGGACCTTTTCTATCTCTTTTTTAAGGAGGTCATTCAGTCTCATAAAGTCGGGATTTTCCTTGTAGGGCTCAAACAATCTAGTACTCTCTTCAATTTGAGTTTTTAGCTCTATTAATTGAATTTTCTCTTCCTCAACAATTAACCGCATAACTGTCAACCCAAGATCAATACATTGTTGTTTCCATTTATCCAAGAATCTCTGAGTATGTAAATGTTCAGCAGGAATAACCCTCTCTCTAATGCCTCTTGGGATGATGCCATTGGTTCTAAATGATTCTAAAGACAGGATATCCCATCTTCGATTTAGATATTTGATAGTTAGTTTTTTATGTTGTTTAAAGAGTCCCTTAATAGGGACCATCTCCGGAATAACAGAGTCCCGAGGTTCCCGAGAGAAGGCTAACCTGATTTCTTCTTCAACCACCTCTCCAATGGCAAAACCCATCAAGAATCCCAGGCACCTCCACACGGCTTTGCCATCCTGCCACACCACACTGGGTGCGCCATTGCAGTTCCATGCACAGTTATTGTCACATGGAGAGTGACTCTACCCCTACATCACCTAATTGCAGTGTTGTCATAGATAATTCCTTATCATTGATCTAGCTATATTAGCTACAACTACAGCGTTTCCGGGTCCCCACTATTATATCCCCATGTGTATGTCATCTTCTGTGTCTGGAGAGTATGCCTGTGTGTGTGTTTTTTAGGATATGGCAATGTTGTCATTTTGTTTTATTGTATAGGGTGGAGGGACTATTGTATAATTCAGATTTTGATATTTTTCAATAAACACATTTTTAAGCCAGAGATGTGTTTTTTTTTTTACTTCTTTTTGTGGGCTCCTTACCCACAAGCCAGTTTTTTGTTACGTACCCTATGGGTCCTGAGGACACCACCCTTAATTTTGGGTGAGTCACCTGTAATATATGTACATTTTCTTTGCAGTGGATCCCGATTCTATTTTTTTACTTTAGTACCAGTATTTTTGACTCCCTTCGGGTCTTCTATTTCGGTTGAACCCTGCTTATATATATTTATATAACTACATATGACAATTCCTTCCACCCTTCACTAGAAAGTGTTTCAGATTTTATGTCAGTGAACCTTATTTTATATGTCTTTTGTCATTGGAGAGGAGATTTAAAGAGAAATCAGATTAGCCTTCTCCTGGTTACCTCGGGACTCTGTTATTCCGGAGGTGGATGCTTTTAAGGGACTCTTTAAACAACATAAAAAACTAACTATCAAATATCTAAATCGAAGATGGGATATCCTGTCTTTAGAATCATACATAACCAATGGCATCATCCCAAGAGGCCTTAGAGAGAGGGTTATTCCTGCTGAACATTTACATACTCAGAGATTCTTGGATAAATGGAAACAACAATGTATTGACCATGGGTTGGCAGTTATGCGGTTAATTGTTCAGGAAGAGAAATCGTAATTAACAGAGCTAAAAACTCAAATTGAAGAGAGTACTAGATTGATTGTTTGAGCCCTACAAGGAAAATCCCGACTTTATGAGACTGAATGACCTCCTTAAAAAAAGATAGAAAAGGTCCAAAAAAATCTGCTAAGTACCAAACTTACCAGATTTCAAAGGGGGATTTGGATGACTGGTATGGTGGGTAAATATTTGATCTTACCAATCAGCGTGGATGAAGAGGATCCTGGCAACACCCTCACCGCTCCCATACACCATCAAGAAATAGGCCAATATCATCCAAGAGTGAAGAGGAAGAGTCTAGAATGCTTAGTTTTTAGACGACAATCCATCAGTAATTGGAGGTGGCGTCCCGGGTCTGGGTATTCTCAGGGCAACAGAGAGGAGGGGGGGGAGACATAGGTGTAGGCAGCAGGCAAGGAGGAGAAAGAGTCAGGGAGAAAGAATCCTTGG